GGCCGATGACTCAGTTTCCCCTTCTGGAAAGGGGCACTGGCAGAGCCCACAGTGGAGAGGAAGCTGCAGGCTGCACCCTTGGCGCTGAGGAGGCCCATGGCGGGGGTCCTGCCCTCTGCCCTGCGCCCCCCGGCCCCCTGACCCCTCCGGGCTGCTCTTGAGACTGGACCCTGCCCTCCTCCAGGCAGGCCTCGGGGCTGGGCGGAGAGGTCCCTGTCGGCCCCATGGGGGCGCCAGTCCTCCCTCTGACAGAGGCCTCCCTGGTGCCCGGGGACCAGCTCACCCCCTTCCTTCCCCAGGGCAGCAGGGGGCTTGGGGGGCGTCCACAGCAGCTCACCCCAGGATGGGAGCTGGCAGGGCTGGCAAAGCAGCCCAGAGAGGGTAGGGAAGGGCCCAGTACGACCAGCAGGGCCCGCCCAGGGCTCCGGGCGCCTCTGCAGGCAGGAACGGGAGCTCCTGCAGCCCAGCCCCTCCGCACCCCCATCCCCTTGCACAATCACAGCAGTTACTCATTCGCCAGATTCCTTCCTCCTGTCGCATCACCTCCCTGCTGGGCTGGCCCTTCTGGGAAGAGGGGATGAGCGGGAAGGGAAAAAAAAAGTCCCGTTTCCTTTTTCCCTTAAGCAACCCCAGCTGCAGAGTCTTTCTTATCGCTGGAGAGGCAAGCACAGCGCAGAGAGAGTGAGTGAGGGGCCCAGGGTCACACAGCAGGAGAGGACCAGGGGCGCCTCCCAGGGCCCTCAGCTGCCAAAACTGCAGGCTCCTTCCATTCCCGGACGGCCTGACCCCGTCCTGGCTTTTCTGACTCCGCTTGTTTCATTTCTGACCGTCACGGTGATTATCATTACTAATCGCTAACTCATCGCAAGGCGTCCGTGCGTCAGGCACAGAGCAGAGCGCCCGGCGTGGATTTCCTTCACTCGTTTTTCGTGCAGCAAATCTTTGTTAAGTGCCTGCTCTGTGCCAGGCATGGGGCCAGGCCCCCGGGAGATGGCGGTGAGCAGAATCAACGTGGCCCCTGTCCTCACACTGTGACATTGTAGGAGCAGCAGACCATGAGGGAAGACCTTAATCCACGAGTGGGCTAATTCCACACAGAGGTAACTGTCGTCAAAATTGAACCGGGTGGGATGGTAGAGGGTGCCTGGCTCCTCTGGCCGAGGGGTCCACGGCGACCCTCCATGAGGAGTGGCACGTGAGCTGAGTTTGACCATGAGAATGAGTCTGGGGTCCCGGGAGAGCTCAGGAAAGTGCATTCCCAGTGGCAGGAAGTGCAAAGGCCCAGGGGTGGGTGAAGGAACAGAAAGTAGGCACAGGAGAAGGACGAGGCAAGAAGGCAAAACTCTCATCGAATTTCGTAACACTCTTGGCAGAAAGGATTATTATTATTAGAGTCATTTTGCTCAGAGAGGTGAAGACGCCTACCGGGGGTCACACAGCTACGTAAAACCCCTCCTTCCCCATCCATGCCAGGCCTTATGTTGGGGACACAAAAGTTAAAAACAAACGAAACAGTCTCCAGGAGCCCCGAGCCTCGCAGAGAACTGATTGTCACAGAAGAGGCCCAGGAGGGGCCCAGCGAGGCCTCCTGGCTCCCGGTGGGGCCAGGCCCGCCCTAAAGGGGGGGGTGGCAGGGTGGCCCTGCCCAGGATGGCCACCGCTCCGCCCCGCAGAGCCCAGAGCGAGGAAGCCAGGCTGGTGCTGCCCCCCGGTGGCGATGGCTGGGATGGCCGGCGCCCGAGTGCAGCGCCCGTCTGCTCGCTCCTTGGTTGTCCCCCAGCGCCCTGTTCAGACGCGGCCGCCGGGGTCTCAGTCCGGGTGTTAGAGGGACCGTGGTCCTCAAACTCCCCCCAGCGGAGGCAGTCCCCAACGCCATCCCAAGGTGCCTAACCTCAAGACCATGCGAAGACCCTGGGCAAATGGGGTGGGCTGCCATGACTGGAGCAGGCAGCTCACTCATTCGTTCGCTCCTTCATTCGTTCGCACATTCACCCTGTGCTAATTGAGCATTTCCCCCCGGGCCAGGTGCTGGGGACGCAGCAGGAAAGGCAGCAGGCACCCAATGTCCGACACCAATACACAGAGGGGTGTGGATGCGCTCGAAGGACAGGTGCCGAGGACAGAGTGAGAAGAGGAGAGGGTGACACGTCACCACGTGGGGACAAAAGAGACCCGCGCCTGGGCAGGAACGCCCAGCGGGCTGTTTCAAGACTGGCGGGTGTGGACGCCCTGGGTGTTGGTGGCAGCTGGCAAGCGAGGAGGTCAGAGGCCGAGCTGGAGCGAGGCCAGACCCCCGAGGGGCACTGCCGTTTTCATGAGGACGAGGCCTTCGTGGGAATCAGGAAACAGCTTCCAAAAGACGCTTTCTCCCTCAGCTGAAAAACGGATGTCATGATTCACGAATCGACCGAGCCCGTGGTCGTGCCACAGACCCCTGCCGCCCGGCCAGACGCTCTCCCTCCGCTTCTACCACCTGACTGCTTGCGTGTTCTAGAACTTCAACTAAATACAATCCTAGGCCAGGTTTCTTTTGCTCAAAATCATTTTCTGAGACGTGTTCCTCTGGCTGCATACATCCGAGTGCCTCCCTCCCGTGCTGAACGGGCTCCCTCGTATGATATACACAATCTGTTTATCCACTCGCCTGTTGACACATTTTTTGGTTGTTTCTCAATTTTGGCTATTCTGAATAAAGCTACTATGAATTTTCTCTTATAGGTTTTTTGGACATACGTTTTCATTTGGGTAAAGACCTCACTGTGGAATTACTGGTCACAGGTGGGTGGATGTATGTTTGGCTTTATAAGAAACGGCGAGTTTTACACTCACACCAGCAGTGTACGAGGCTTCTTGTTGTTCCCCATGCTTGTCAACACTTGGGATTGTCCGTTTTTTTTTTTATTTAATCAGTGGTACATACGGTTCTTAATTTGCATTTCCTAGATGGCTAGTGATGGTGAACACCTTTCCACTTGTAAATTGGCCATACTTCTCTTTCTTTTTGTGAAGTGTCTATTCCAGTGTTTTGTCCACTTTTTTTTTTTTAAAGATTTTATTTTTTCCTTTTTTCTCCCCAAAGCCTCCCAGTACATAGTTGTATATTCTTCGTTGTGGGTCCTTCTAGTTGTGGCATGTGGGACACTGCCTCAGGGTGGTTTGATGAGCAGTGCCATGTCCGCGCCCAGGATTCGAACCAACGAAACACTGGGCTGCCTGCAGCGCAGCGCGTGAACTTAAACCACTTGGCCACGGGGCCAGCCCCCCACTTTTTTTTTTTTTAACTTCATCTTTTTTTTTTTTCTCCTGAGGAAGATTAGCCCTAAGCTAACATCTGTTACCAATCTTCTTCTTTTTGCTCAAGGAAAATTGTCACTGAGCTAACATCTGTGCCAGTCTTCCTCTATTTTATGTGGGATGCCACCACAGCGTGCATGGCTTGATGAGCGGTGCCAGGTCTGCTCCCGGGATCTGAACCTGTGAACCCCGGGCCTCCAAAGTGGAGTGTGAGAACTTAACCACCATGCCACTGGGCTGGCCCCCTCTTGCCCGCTTTTAATATTGCGTGTTTAAAATTATTAAGATTGAGTTGAAGGAGTTCCTTTATAGTCTGGATGCCTGTCCTTTGTCACAAAGACGCACTGCAAATATTTCCTTCTTGGCCTTTTTACTTTATCTCCCGTGTCTTCACAGAGCAGGTGTTTTCGGCTTTGACGAAGTCATTTTTCCAGTTTTTCTTTTATGGCTTGTGCTTTGTGTCCCATGTAAGATCTTGATCAACGGTCACATTTGTTTGTTTTTGGTTGCTCTCCGCTTCTCGGTGTCGCTTTTTTCTTTTTTATATACTTCCTTTCAAATTAGTAAAAATAATTTTATGGTTCCAAAGTCACATCAATAAAGCAAGGTACCTTTGGAGAAAGGCTGCTTCCGGCCCTGACTCCCTCAACGCCAACGGCTCCCGTTTCTCATTAACCCTCCCTTTATTTCTCCTTGCGTATTATGCATCTCCCTCCCCATTTTCTTACCCCAAAAGTAACGCATTACATATATCTCTGTCTTCTTGTGTTTTTTTTAAAAAGATTTGATTTTTCCTTCTTCTCCCAAACCCCCTGATACATAGTTGTGTATTTTTAGTTGTGGGTCCTTCCAGTTGTGTGCGGCATGTGGGATGCCATTTCAGCGTGGCTTGATGAGCGGTGCGATGTCCGTGCCCAAGATCCGAACCAGAGAAACCCTGGGCCGCCAGAGCAGAGTGCGCGCACTTCACCACTGGGCCACGGGGCCAGCCCGTCTTCTTGTTTTGTAATGATATATCCTGGAGAGAACACTGCATAACAGTCCATGGAGACTTTCCTCTTTTCTCTCTCTCTTTTCTTTTCCTTCCTTACTCCTTCCCTCCCTTTATTTTTGGTAGCTGCAGAGTAGTTATATGGATGGACATTTGGGTTATTTCTAGCCTTTTCTGCAGAATTGAATAGCCTTGTGCCTACGTCATTGGATATTTTTGCTAGTCCATCTTTGGCGTGGATTTCTAGAAATAGTATTGCTGGATCAAAGGGTCCCCCATCTGTAACTTTGCTAGATGGAACCAAATGCCCCCTCAGGGTGGGTGTGTGGGAAGGCCACTGTCCCTTAGCCTCACCATAGCTCCTGGCTTCTGCCGGTCTGACAGCAGGCAGGGCTCTCTCGGACGTCCCCAGTATTTTGGAGCACGTGAGAAACCATATGGTTCGCTGATCAAGTGTGCAGACGTCACTTTGCGCCTTTGTTCCACAAATGCCGGCTGTGCCCTTCCAGGCTGTGACCCCGGTAAAGCACTGAGCCAGCCCAGGTACATATATGTATGCACATATCCGCGCGTGTGTGTGTATACGTGTGTGTATACACACATGTGTATGTACGTACATATATATGAGTGTGTACATATGTACATACACCTGCCTACACTTCTAAAGAGAGGGACATGAACATCCTCACAGATCTGTGCACACACTGGGGGAAATTCCTCAAAGCAGAATTGCTGCCTCCGATCAGATTCCCATTTTTAAGGCTCAGGGTGATTCTCCCACCTGTCCTCGGAACCACAGCGCCAGTTTCCAGGCCGGTGTGGAAAGGCCATCTTCAAGGGTCCCTCAAGCTGGGCGGCTGGGAGGCCCCGCCCCTCTCCTGCAGAGAATGGGGACAAAGCCCACCGCTCTGGCCACCGTGAGGACACACATCGCAATGGCTGTTCCACCTGAGCCAGGCGCAGCAGGAGGCGCTGGGGGAGGCCTGCACTGCTGGCAGGATGGGGACCTCCCCCAAGACAAGCGCTCGGTGGCTCGGAGCTCGGAACCCGATGCTGCCCGGATACCGTTGCTGGCACAAAGGACCTCCAGTGTACCAAGATGGAACCATCCCCAGGGTGAGGGTCCCCCCTTTCAGGTGACCAGTTGACTGTGGGGCCCTCGGGAAGTTGGCGAGGACACTATGGGTCACCTTGCGGAACTGGGGCCTCAGCCCCCTCCCCAAGTCCTGCTGTCCCCCACCAACCCGGGGACCACGTGGCCCAATGGGGACAAAGTGGGGCCTCCCACATCCTGTGCCCTCTCTTAAAGCATCGAAAAGAAGTCTCGGATCAAGACTCATGACTCCCTCACATCAGGTACAACCTGCCCGCCTCCCCCCCAGCCCACCCCGGGGTGGCCAGAGACAACCTAGGCTGACTGGGGGGGGCCGGGTGGGTGGGGTCCTGGCTGTGCTCACATGATCATGGGTAAGTCGCCGAATCTCTTTGGATCTGTTTTCTCACCTGGAAGATGGCTGAGAGAATTAGAAGAGATGAGGGCTGTTGGGTGGGCAGGGGCTAACTCACTGTGAGACCAGAATGACTTTCCGTTCACCAGACCGGGGCCAGGTACTTAATTCCGACCTTCAGTTTCTTGACCTGTAAAATGGGTCCCCAGGCAGGGCTGCTGGGGGCGCTGGATGGACACGAAGCCTCTCCCTGTGCCACGGATTCCAGGCTGTGGGGCGAGAAGCAGGGAGCAGCTGCCTGCTCTCTGCTGGCCCCACTCTGGGAGGAGACCCCGGGCACCCCCTCCAGCCTCGAGGCCCCTTTCCCAGGCGAAGCAGGTCCCTGTGCAAAGCACCCGTGTGGGCTCCAATAGATACCCAGGGGAGCCCCCTCCATTGCCCACACCTTCACTGAGATGATGGGGCCCCCACGCTCTCCTCTCCCAGACCACACTCTGGGTGTCCACGATCCCAGAATTCCTTGTCCAAACAGCCTTATGCCTGCTTCCAGGGCCTGTGTGGGGCCTCTGCCCAAGGCCCGGGGGCTGCCTTCCTGAAGGTAGGGGACAGAGCTGGGTGTGTACACACCTTGTGGGTCAGGAGGGAGCAGAGGCTGGGAAGAATGGAGGGGGCCTGGGACCCATGCGCCCTCCCTTTTTGGAGCCTCTGGACCAGAGGCAAGGGCCGTAACCATAGCAACACGTGCCCTGGCAGCAGGCGTGCTCAAGTTCCCTCCTTGGCCCTGACACCTACTTACTGGGTGACCTCGGACAGGTCACTTAACTTCTCTCAGCCTCGTCTCCACAACTGCAGAAGTGGAATAACGCCACACAGCTTCCTCGCTGGGGATTTGCCAAGACTCCACGGAGGTGTGCAAAGTGTTCAGCACAGAGCTGGGCATGTAATAAGTGCTGGATACTCAAAATAGAAGGGGTGAGGGGGCCCCCCACTACTTGTGCATCCTTGACTTCCCGGCACTGCCTCTAGAAAGATACTCCATCCGACGACTAGAGGGCAGAACCGGAGTCAGAAACACTGGGGTTCAAATCTCAGCTCCTCCACCTACGAGCTGTACACCGGCTGGGAACTGGATTCTGGGCTCCAGGCCTCAGCTCTCCCTCCTGTAAACGGAGCCTCCCTCCGGCGGGCCTCGCCTCGGCTCAGCGCTGTACACCCACAGGAGGCCTTCAGATCTGAGGGTGTCCTCTTTCCTCTCTCCCAGAGCCTCCTCCTCCTCCTCCTCCTCCTCCTCCTTGCCCTCGGCCTCCAGAAACTCAGGCTTCTGTCCCAGAGTACCCCCAAGGACCCCACGTGGTTCACACCGGTGAGTGCTGCCCCCAGCCTCCCCTCCTGGCTTCTCGGTCTCGTCCTCAGGACTGCCCCGACCACTTCCGGCAAGTCCTCCTCCCCCGATGCCCACAGCTGGTCGGTGGCCACCTTGCCCGTGGCTGCGAGCTTTTCTGTCCAATGTGAAATCACTGGGGGAGGCAGCTGGACAAAGTAGGTGCTGGGGGAATGTTTATGGAGTGAAATCTTGTCGTCTCCTGGGCAAATGCACCACCCCCCAACCACAGAGGAAGAGAATGTAGACACCCCTGCCCCGAGTGGGGGCCTGGGCTTTGGGACTTTTAAACAAACTTGCCAAGGAATTCAGGAACGCTCTAAAGGTGAGAGCTGCTGGGCTGGGCTGTCAGTTCCCAGTGGGCAGAAGGAGAATGATGACCTCCCCATTAGAAGGCACCGGTGAGAGCCCTTGGGTCGCCCCCTACAAGCCACACCTGTTCCCTGCCAAACTGGGGAGGTCCAGGCCCCCACAATCGGGGCTCCGGCACTCCAAACCCCAGCAGCCCCTCACCCCGGGCCCCAGAGGAAGCCAAAGTGTGCACCGGCCGTAGACCCCTCCTTATCGCTCGGGACAGTCCATCCCGGCTGACCCGGAGCCCTCGGTCCAGAACACCAAAGCTCAATGGAATTGTGTTTTCTTAACAAAGTCAGCCGGCACCCAGGCCCTCCTTCTTGGCAACCCCAAGGCTGTAGAAACGGCTGCAGTGTTTCAAATAGCTAAACACACACTTTTGGGTCCCCCTGTACCAACGCAAGAGAAAGAGACAAGAAGAATGCCAACAGGAAGGGTTTTGGTCACTGTTTGGTTTTTTACAAGGCCAACTGCTTTCCCAAAGGTGTCAGTTAGGGCTTTTTAAGCGCAGGGATTAGAAACCGACTCTGGCTGAGTTAACTGAACAAACCCCAAAGGGAACTCACTGAAGTGAAGGGACCCCGTGCAAACCCAGGGATGCGCCCAAATTCCCTGCAGACCTCGGCCAGGGGAGGCAGGTGTCTTGACCAGGGGGCCTCTGAGCCCTGAGAGCTGGTGTGGTGGTGGGGGGGGCGGGGATGGGACTGGAGGAGAAACTGGGGCCCATGTGGACTGCCTGGGGGCTCAGAGGAGCACGGAGAGCCTGCAAGAAGGTCCAGCCCAGGGGTGGACACTGGGGAGGCGGAGCAGAGGGGGCCCAGCTGAACTGTCCCCTCCGCCAGCACCCCCAGCCCTGTTCACCAACATGACCACGATGCAGTCGGCCATGCCCATCCAGTTCTCGTGTCCCTACTGCGGGAACTACATCATCACGGTGACCCGCCCGGTCCCGGGGGTCCTCACCTGGCTGCTGTGCACGGGGCTCTGCTTGTTTGGGTGAGTGGCGCGCCCATGGCCTGCACAGGCACCCTGTGGGTTTGGGGGAGCTGGCGGAGGCAGAGGGCCCCGTGGGGGGCAGGGCAGGACCAAGGACAGAGCCCCCCCCTCCCCCCCCCCCCCCCCCCCCCCGGGCCTGGCCCCGCCCCCGGCTAGTCCCGTACAACCTTGGTGGGAGCCTCAGGCTGGCCCGCCCCCGCCCCCACCCCCACCCTGCCCGATGCTCCCGAGGCTGCAGGTGTTTCCTGGGCTGCTGCTTCTTCCCCTTCTGCGTGGACAGCTTGATGGACGTGATGCACACCTGCCCTGTGTGCCAGCACCAGCTGTTCCGCTACCAGCGCCTGTGACCCCTGCAAAATAAATGTTGACCAGCGACCTTCAACCGCCCACGTCTGTCCTGCAGGGTCCCTCCTCCCCGCGGTGGCGCAGGCCATGAGGCGTTGCCCACCTGCCCTTCCCTCTGCCCTCCTGTCCCCAGGGCAGGTCAGGGTGGCGCTTAGCCGCGTGCCGGGTGCACAGCGGGTGCGCAGTTAGCAGTGGCCGAATGGAGGCTGGCAGGGTGGTGGCCCTTCCTTCGGGGGTTCCCTCCTCTTCCGACCCCTTAGAAACCACAGTCCACTGATCAGTTCCCATCTCTTCTGGTTCCTTCCATCAGCTCGAGCTCCTGCATCTTTATGAAACCGGCTCCCCACGCACCTGCCCCTCCCTCCTCCACCTCATCCGGGCTCACGCCTGGCCCCCTGCCCTGCCTGGTTGACCAATGACGTCCCGTTGCGAAACCCAGCATCCACCTGCCTGGATTCTCTGCAGCCCCTGAGCCTCAGGCTGCGGTCTTCCCTGCAGTCCGCAGGGCGCCCCGTGCGCCCTCTCTGCAAGCCCTTCACTGATGCCCCCAGGGTGCTGTCTTGGGCCTCTTCTCGTTTGACATCACTCCTGAGGCTTCTGTCCTCACCTCTGGCATCCCACAGCCTCCACCCCCCCGCCCCCCAACATTGGATGCCCCAAGGGCCCCGCAAACCCCACAGGTCTCAGAGTGATCTTTCTTCTTGCCGCCTCGTGTGGCCCTGCTGGCTGGGGATGGCACCGCCGCCTCCCTGCAGCTTCCCGTCTTATTCCAGAGCCCTCCAGGCCCTGCGCACGACCTTCCGTCCCGGGCTATTTGCCCCTCAATGATGCCTTCCTCTCCTCTATCCCACCTGGTCTTCCTTGAAGGAGGCAGCAGCCCCCGACGGGTCTCCCTGCCCCAGGTCTGGCCTGCTCCTTCCCGTCTGCACCAGCAGCCAGTGGCTGGCACAGAAAAGCTTAGTTAACCCAAGTAAGAATTAGTAACTTCAGGAGGCCGGCCCGGTGGCACAGCGGTTAAGTTTGCACATTCCGCTTTGGGGGCCCAGGGTTCGCCGGTTTGGATCCCAGGTGCAGACCTACACAGCACTTGTCAAGCCATGCTGTGGCAGGCGTCCCACATATAAAGTAGAGGAAGATGGGCACGGATGTTAGCTCAGGGCTAATCTTCCCCCGCAAAAAATAATAATTAGTAACTTCAGCTCTGAAGACGCCAGACACCTGCTTGGAACCGGCCACCGTCAGGACCGAGTCCAGACTTTTGACCTGGGGTCAATGGAGGCCGTCTGTGGGCTGGCTTCTTCTTCCCTCCCCCGCTCTGCGCTCCTGCCAGCCAGAACCCAGAGCTGCCCATCCCCCAGGCGTCCAGACTTCCTCTCCCCTCTTCTGGAATGCCCTGCCTGCCCCCTTCTCTCTGCCTATTCCTTCCAGCCCCGGCTGGCCGGCAGTGTCACCAACCATTCTTGGGCCTTTGTCACTTTCCTCAGGCCCTGGTGCCCTCAGGGCCTGGCGGGGACAGCTGGGTTTACGGGAGCTGGGAATCTCAATCCCGTCCTTGCTCCCGTTTAATCCTTACAATTCCTCCAGGGCCAAGCAGGCAGCCGCCCTGTATTGCACACGCAGCTGTGTGGGAGCGTGGCGAATGCTTAGGATGCTCAAAGGCCCCAGGCTGGTTACGAAGGGGATCCCTTCTGGCGAAGTGGGATCTGCCTGGGGATGAGGCCAGGACGGGGATGGGCCAAGGGAAAACCCAGGGGTGCAACGAAGGGATTTTTTATTTAGCAAAATATGCAAAACATTGTTCACCCATCTTTTTAATTAAAATAACTTTCCTAGAGAAGGGAGCAGGGAAGTGATGGGAGAATTAGGGGCCAGGGGAGGAAGAGGTGTGACGTACATTTTCTTCACTAAAACGTGGCCCAGTGGTCCTCTGTGATGTTCACCAGCACGTCCTACAGATGCGGAAGCTGAGGCCCGAGGGATGGCTTGTCCAGGGAAGGCGGGGGAGGGGTGTGTGTGTGCTTGCGTGTGTGTGTGTGTGTGTGTGTGTGTGTGTGTGTGAAGTGAGAGCCACTCTGCCCGTGGCCTGCTGTCACAGCACTGGCAGGTCCTCATGCCACACCAGCCAGGAGGAAGGACGAGCTCCGGGGACAGAGGTCTCCAGATGTGAATGTCTGTCCCTCTGCCGTCTCCCCCGGCCCCTCCCCGAGATGCCCTGCAGAGCCGGGGAGAGCACTGACTTCTGAGTCAGCACCTGCTGCACGACAGGGGGCCTCAGTCTGCACATCCAAACAGGACCCATCTGAACAACATGTTTCGAGTTAGAAGGTGAAGCATCTGACACAGGCGAGGCGCCCAGTACCTGGGAACCGATCAGGATGGGGAGGGGCGTGCCAAGGGAACCCAAGGAGGCAGAAAGGGCCCAGGTCGACAAGACACGTGGCCCCCCATCTGGTCTCCGTGTCTACAGGAGAAACGGTGAGAGGGTCCATCCTGAAAGGGAGAGCGAGTCACGAAAGCGGGGGCGGGCAACCAGCCACCACTATCCGGAGGAAGAGTCCTGACCTGGGACCTGGCCAGTCTTTGGTTGGAGCAGGTCCGCAGCTCTGCAGAGGCTCCCGGGCCCTGTGGGTGACAGTCAGGGGTGTGCCCGATGGTCAGCCTCTGGCCGGGGCTGACACATCTGCAGAGCTCAGGCCCCTGTTCTGAGTCCATGCTCCAAGCAACTTGCTGGGTTTGACTTGGGTTCGCAGATAGGTGCACAGACCTGAGCGTTCGGTCCTGTTACAGTCACTTCCCAGGGCAAACGCCAAGCGGGATGCAGCCCGTGAGGGTGCTGCCCACCACGTGGGTGGCGGCCCAGGTCCTCCTGCACAAGCCTGGCTTGGCCACTACCGTGCCTTCAATGAGGTCCCGCCCAGTGCCAGCCAGCACCCTTCTGCCAGTCCACGGTCAGCCCCCAGGCCTTTCTCACTTACACTGTCCAGTGTTAAGAAAGAAAAAGTCATTAGTCAGCTTTTAAAAATTGGGATATTTATTCACATGGAAAATCCAGACTTTTCGGCTTCTTGCAAAAAAACTCTGAAGGTCCAGCTGCATAGGACCCACATTCAGCAACCATCACGCTGAACAACGGCTGTCCCCCTGGCTGAGCCCCACCAGTCCCCATGTCCCCACCATCCCAGGACCTCCTCACTCACTGCCTTGAGTGACAACTGGGTTTAAGCCACTGTTCCCCTTTCTTAGTCTTAATGTCTGAGGCCTTGGCCCCGGGCAACCTTGGTTCTCCTGTCACAAGAGCTGGCTGCAAAACCCGGCCCCGGGGGGCGGGGGGGGCGGTGTGGCGGGCATGGCCTCACTCTCCCGCACACCTTTCCCTCTGGTCCTCCGTGCTCACGGTCTGCCTCCGCACCAGCTTCTGGGTCCTGCCAGGCGTGGCCTGGAGGTGTGGCCAGGAGGGCCCAGGACTGGGAGGGCGACAGTGCCCTGCCCTCGGCTCCCGCAGCTCCTCATCTGAACGTGGGGACGGCCCCCTCCCTCCTTCCCAGCGAGGCTGGGTGGGGGCACCTGGAAAGCAAGGTGGCAGTGAGTCTGGTCACGGCCAGCTCTGCACCTGGCCAGCCCCGAGAGCCCAGCCAGTTGCTCAGCCTCTCAGAGTCGGTGTCCGGGTCACTCAGGCTGCCCAGATGCCTCACTGGGAACTGCGGTGCGACGTGCTCAGGGTGACAACTGTTACGAGGACTGCTGACAGGTGCTTAGCTCCATTCTCCCCAGAGAGCCAGAGCCAAGAGACAACAACCCCCATCACAGGGGCAGCCTGGAGGGCACGGCGCTGGCCCCCAGCAGGCCACTAACAGGACCAGTGCGCCTCCATCACAGGGGACACCTCGCACTCACCTCCAGCCCCGAGCTCTCGTGGAAGCCGGTGGCTGGCCGCCTCAGGTGGCTGTGGGCAGAGGCCTGCCGGGTGGCATCTCCTCGAGCCTGCCTGTGCTGTGCACAGAGGCCAGGAGGAAGCTGCAAGGCCCAGTGGGGTGGGGTGCACAGAGGGGCCACAGCTGACCCTCACCTCTTCCTGCGGCGCCGCCCAGCCTCTCCGACAGCTGGGCAGCAATGCGTCTGGATGGTGGAAGGACACCTGTCTTTACTGGTGGGGACGGGGGTGGGCCAGCACCGCTCTCACTACGGGAGTGGGCTCCATCCGTAGGGGGGTCTGACTCCGTGGGTTTTTCTCTCCTAACATTTCATTACGAAAAATGTGAACAGTGATCAAATCCGAAAAGATCTTGGTGTGAACGCCCTTCTGCCCACCCTTAGACCACCGGCTGACAGTTCCTGGCCACATGGGTCAGTGGCCCCTTGGAGCTCTGATGAGCAGGGACCCCTCCTCCGGAAGCTGCAGGCCCAATTCGGCTCAGACAGTCCCAGAGGCCCCTGCGGTCCGGTGTCAGGGCCTCACTCAAGGTTGAAGGCGTGAAGGCCAAGTCAGCACAAGCCTGACCAGCGGCTCAGCAGGCCGCAGCTAAGTGTTAGCGCCTGTGGCGGGTGGCGCCTGCACCGGGCCGTGCAGACAGAAAGTCACCAGGGCAGAAGGTTCTAGTGGACAGCACTAGGTTAGAGCAAAATGGCAAGACTGGCAGGAAACGCTGCAGCTACCCACAAAGACATGGGGCCGTGTGGCTGCAACTTGGCCACATGTGAAACCTGTTTTCAGTGAGGGGCCCGGTCTGGCTCCAGGGCCACTGAGGCCCCTTCTTCCTCCTCTGCGGGCGGCCCTGCCAATCAGATGGCTCTGAAGCGCCCCAGGCTGCTCTCCCGGCTGATTTGGGGCTTGGAGAGCCAAGCCGACTTCTGCCTGTCCTCATTCACAACTGAGGCTTCACTGGAACACAGCCTCACGCGTGCACTGGAGTGCGGCCGTGGCTGCCTCACTGCTCCGGCAGAGCTGCGTGGTCACCACGGGACCGCCCAGCGCTGCAGAGCCGAGACCCAGTATCGTACACTCTGATGTGAAGGCGGTTTCAAACTTGAGACCTCAGTCAACTACTCACGGATCTCAAACCCACACGCCAACGCAGCACGAACACGTGCGCGGGACAGGGAAGCGGGGAGAGCCACACACGAGGGCAGCCCCGGGGGTCCTTGCTGAGGGAGAGGGCCCTGCAACCAGCCCGTTTCCCCACGCCCAGAACCCCGGCCCAGGTCCCCCTCCGAGGGACCCTCGTGTGTCACAGAGCGACTCTGCAGGAGGCTGCCTCACCCTCACCCTCTGTTACAGG